CATATCAGATAGGGGAACTCAATTTGTGTCAAGATTTTGGAGGACCCTTTTCAAGATTTTAAAAGTGGATATAAAGCTATCTTCGGCTTTCCATCCTCAAACTGATGGACAAATAGAGCGCGTAAACCAAGTCTTGGAGCAATATTTAAGGTGTACTATCAACTATCAACAAGATGATTGGACAATCCTTCTGCCATTGGCAGAGTTTGCTTATAATAATACGGTACATTCTTCCACGCAACAAACACCTTTCTTTGCCAATTATGGCTATCATCCACGACTTGATACTTTTGATTTTTCAAAAGTTGATAATCCTGCAGCAGAAGATATGGCAAATCGGTTGTCAGAGTTACATGCAATAATGAAGACGCAATTGAAGGAAGCTCAAGAACAACAAAAGATAAACGCAGATGTATATCGTAAGGAGCAACCACAACTCAACGTGGGTGATAAGGTATGGCTACTTCGTCGCAATATCAAGACGACTCGACCTTGTGACAAGTTGGACTATCGTAGGCTTGGCCCCTTTTCTGTTTCTGAACAGATCAACCCAGTTGCATATCGGTTACATCTATCGGAGTCAATGAAGATCCATCCTGTATTCCATGTGTCTCTTCTTGAACCATATAAGACAGTGGATATACAAGGAAGAAGACAAATGCCACCGCCTCCTATAGAAGTAGATAATAATGAAGAATTTGAGGTGGAAGAGATATTAGACTCAAGGCAGCGCCGAAATAAGCTGGAATATCTTGTTCATTGGCACGGATATGATATTAGTGAATGCACATGGGAGCCATCCAGGAATCTAGCAAATACATCAGCTAAAGTCAAAGTTTTTCATCAACGACATCCATCAAAACCAAGATGAAAATCTCTCTTATAAAAGAGACAAGATTGAGGCAAGATAACATTCAATTTCCTATCCTTGTTTGTAACTTCTTTGCATTTGTGACGCTAATTAGATGGAGAGCCAACAACCAACGGATTCAACTCAAGAACCTTCGTTTGCTGACTTGCCGGACGAGACATTACGATTGTCACAACCTTCAAGACGACGCAATCGAGATGAAGATCTTCAAGAATGACATGTTCTTCCTCGAATAGATGGTGAGATACAACGCGTTTGGTATCACAATTTGGGAAGGGACTCTCGATGTTTGGTGATTTTGTTAAAGGTAGGAACAACTCCTGATGGTGTTCCGAATATTCTATTCGAAGGAAGTTACGAAGGCCTCAACAATGATCAAATAACTGGGTGGTCTTCCCGCCCTAGTATGGGACACTACCAATGGTTGAGAGGCCCTATCAATCATCTACGAAGAGAACAGAGATCAGAGTATGTGGCAAATACAATTCGTCGCATCATAGATTTCCTCAACATATGATGACCACTCCTCGTGGAACTCGTCTCTAGAAGGGGGGGTAATGTCACGACCATAATCATGTAAGCTAATAATTACATATAGAAATAGGTAGAAGTAAGTAAAAGTAGATAAAAGTAAGTTAATTCTATAATATTTAATATAGAAGCTTCCTAGAAACTTCTTAGACACTGCTTTGACTTCATAGGTATCTTTAATTGACTTTTTGGATTAGAAACGTGGTCAACAAGTTGGCCATGTGCCACACATGTTGTTAGCTTGAAGATCAAGCTAACTATGTGGCCCACACGTAGAAAAACTTGCCTTGTAAGTCAAGGCATGTGTCCTACAAAATCAACATATATTGGAGGTCTTATAGAACGTCGCCACGTAGCCCCTAGTTAGATAGTATATATAGAGACAAGAGTGAAGGCTTCTTCACTCTTGTCAACTCCTTTCTTGCTTCTAGTCTAGTTTCAAGGGTCTCTAGTTTTCTTGTCTTTTGGCAATAGCCATTCTAGTTTCTCTTTTCAATATACATACTTATTATTCATATTTTGTTACTTTTCTTTGAGTGAAGGCTTACTTGTCTGAACTGTTTTTTCATCGAGTTCTTGTCCTTGACACAAATATGTGGTTAATTTGTTGACTAAGTTTCTAACCTTCCAATCAACTACAAACATATGTAAAGTCAAAGCAACATCTATGAAGCTTCTAAGAAGCTTCTCTAGAAGTTTTTATGAAATTTATCTACTTTTAACTAGTTTTATCTATTCCTACCTAATTATATAGGTATTTATTAGAGTACCTATGTATGTTCGTGACATTAATGTCTTGAATGGCTTAGTATGTTGAAATTGTCTACTATCAAACTGATGTCCAAATCAAAGTTGTATACTTCTTTGATTGTAAAGTAAGAATACTATGGCTCTTGCCATTTTTTTTTTAATATAACTAATACTTCATTTCACATATTTTTTATATTATAGCATCAACTTTACAATGGTAGATTTAAGTTTAAATATGTATTCTAAATTGTATTGCTTCTCTTATTGTTGCATTGACCTTAAAAGTCTATTGTAGCCTCTAAGTTAGTCAAATCCTAGCAACTTGGTGTCCTAAAATGGAGTATTATTTTTTTCTTTCCAAGCTAATATATTTAGTAGAGTCATGCCTAAACTAATGTATTTAGTATCCCATCTCATATTATCTTCAACCATTACATTGGAATTTATCCAAATTATATTTCATTGTGTAGATTGAAGAAGGTTAGTGTGACCAAAGCTTTAGAATTCTTGTGGCTGAATTTGCTCATTTTCTTAATAGTGTCGTCAAACTTGTTAGGTAGAAAGTAGCAAAATAAGAGGATTTCTTGACTACAAAGAAAAAAAATCCGAAAAATAGCATCAAAGATGAGGTTACAAAACAAAGAACTGTAGCACTTACTTATACTATTATTCTATTCCAACCAATCAACAATTTCCACTTATTAATAGTTCATTCATATCCATTTTCAATACAATGAATTTTATTTATTGTTCACAGCTTAACATCATTTTAACCAGTCCTCAATCCTATTTTTGATCAATGAATGTCAAACCTAGTTTTCAAACTAATAGAAAAATTCCACCTTATATATATATATATATATATATATATATATACATATGTTCTTTTTTATTTTTTATTTTTTTTTACAATACAATACTAGTTTTTTGATCACATAATCAATAAAATTTTAACAATTTATGATTTTTATATTAAATAACATTATATTTTATGTCGAAAAAAAAACATTTGAAGAAAAAATAAATTCCAAATTTAAAAACTATTGTACAAATATTACTAAAGAGATTAGACATACATAATAATATTTGATTATTTCAATCAATATGGATTAATTCCATTAAATAATTCCTAATCATTTCCTTCTAAGTCAAATTTGTGAGAGTAATAATTATTAAATCTTATTTTATTTAATTCAAGTTTTTTTGTAAAAATAATTAAAAATTAAAAAAATATAAAAACTGAATTTAATTAAAATAATTATAAAAAAATTAATAAGAAAATTAATTCTTCATATATATTTTTAAAAAATACATTTAGTGGCACCTTAGTAATCCTTTCAAATATTGGATAAATAAATTTTCAATTATTTTGGTTTAAAGTTGGTATTCTCAAAAATATCCTACAAAAAAGCTGAGCTTTTATTAAAAATAAAAATAAAAAAAAAAAAAAAAAAGTGAATTATTCTTTTCTGAAAAATATAAATTTTATATATATTAAAAAAATTACAAAAAAATAGATTTTTAGTGATAATACAGTTTTTTATTTTAAAATTTTAAAATTTTAAAAAATATTTGATTTATATAAAAAAATTTAAATTAATTTATTTAAAAGTATATTTTGAATTCTTACTGCATATCATTTCATATAAAATAATAATTTTTTAATCTAACAAGAATATATATATATATATATATATGTATGTATTAAATCTGATAAAAATCAACTCTTTTCTAAAAGTATGATGCTGTCTACACAACTATTATCATGAGACATTTTTTACATCTTAAAGATATATGTTTTTAAAAGATACTTTGAAGAAGTGGAATTTAAATCTTTGCAATATTTTAATTTTTCTTGATATATATATATATATATATATATATATATTAAAAGCATTAAGACTTCAATTTTTATATAAATCAAATAATTTTTTACCTTGAATATATATATATATATATATATATATATATATATATACAAGTAAATATTAAATTTCAAAAAAATGATTAAATACATATATTTTAAAGTTATTAGTGCTTTTAAATCTTTTTTTGATAAGAGAAAAAATGTTTTGAATTTCCAAGACTAAGTAATTCCTACTACATATTTTGTGATATCATGTAGGTTTTTTAAACCTTTATCTTAATATTTAATTTACTTGCTAAATTATACTATTCAGGCATTCCAATTTAGTATAAAAATTTATTCATGAAGTAGGTGTTTTTATGCTTTTATAGCAGAAATATCTAATTATTTGTAACTTGTGTGTGTTTAAAAAGATCATTTGATTTGTGTACAAAAATATATCAAGCAATTTTTTCTAAAACCCATTAGATTTTTAATATGTAGCAAACTAAATTTCTAGTACATTGATGTGAATTTAAATTTTTTGACAATAGTCCATTAATGGCAAAACAGTTGATATATGTTTACTTGAAATTTTCTTATGGGTTACAATATTAAACAACTAAACATTAATTGTACTTCTGGGTTTGGCTTAGGTCAAACTGTTTTATTTTGATTATTATTTTGTAAATTCATTTATTTTGCAAAAATATTATCTCATTTTGTTTGATCACTTTTCAAAATTATGAGAAATACGTGTGTTTTATAAATGAAGTGTTAAAAAATGTGAAATTAAAGCTTAAGATTTTTTTCTATATATTGTTAAATCAGAAAATGTGGATTTTTAATTATTTATATATATTCACTATCTCTTGAGTATGGAGGCCTACAACATATTCTTTACAAAACTTTACATCCTGATTTTGACGCACACTTCCTATTGGTTAAATACAAAAACAAACAAACAAAGATGAAAAGCAGATATGAACTTCTTCCAAAAAAGTTCTTAAAAACAAACCCATATCAAATCAAAATCAGTTTCGCATGTTACAAATTTTCAGTCTGTCCCATGAATTGAAGACACATGTCTCCATTAAAAACACACAACATAGGATAACTGTCGTGAGTTCAAAGGCATGCATCTGATATCTAAACAGGAAACAGAAACAGCAAAATTTCACAAACAGACAGACAGTCTCTCCTTCACAATAGCACTTCTGCTCAGTGAATGCATTGCAACAGCACTGCAAAGCAAAGCAAAGCAAAGCAATACAGGGAAAGGGGAAGAAGAGAATACACACACACACACACAGATACACACAGAGATACAGATTACAAATCCAATGCAATGCAATGCAATGTAATGCCAATTAATCCTTCTTGCCAGTGCCGTGGGACATATTCCAAACCCCTCGCAGCATCATCAGAATGGTAGTCCCCACCAGCAGCGCAGGAATGGCTACTGATGTGATTCTATCGCTGCCCAGTTTCAGATGAATGTGGGTGCCTTTCTTCATGCCTTGAAACTGCGATTGTTTCAGCATCACCCCCTCGGCGCCGTCCACTTTCATCCCCCCCCCCCCCCCCCCCTCGCTACTTTCCGAAGCTTAGGTTCAATAACAACACCAACAACAACTCTGTGGTAACTGACTCACTGACTGACTGTCCGACCTTCGTAGGAAGACTGGTCTCTCTCTCTCTCTCTCTCTCTCTCTCTCTCTCACAGCACTGGTTCAGCAGCAGCATCTGGCATAATACAAAGCAAAGCATCGAACTGTGAATTAAATTATAAGTATATTTTCCACCTTGCAAGCTTGCAACACAAATCCTAGGAGACATCCATCCACTCCCTTGGACACCATGATGTGATCCTGTCCTGAAGGTGTAGTAGCATTTCACATACCGACAACTCAAATTGCAGTGATCCTTGCGTACTGGATCACGTTGAATGGCGTTCCTGGGATTGAGTTCGAGTGTTCAGGATCAGAACTGCATCCACCGATGCAGTCGAATCGAGATATCAATGACTCTTCAATACGATAGAAAAAGGAACCAGACCTATGTTGTGTGCGAGTCAAACTTGTGATGTGGAGAAGTCACTCACAGGTCAGTTGTTCATGTGCGCTATCATTCCAACATTGCATCATTCTCTGCACAAATTGGGGCAGAAGAGAAAGAGGGTGTGAGAGTGGAAGAATGATCAACTGCCGCGATGTTACAACAACGACGGGTTTCTGTGAAGGGGCAGAAGAAGAAGAAGAAGTGTATGTGTGTGTGTGTTTTCATGTGAGGATGTGCAACCGCTACTCCCGCAACAATTCAGTTTGGGTTAATGTTCCTCAGTATCATCGTTTGAGGCACACAATTCTGCTCTGATGGTCCCCCGACAATTTTGTTCTAACCTTCTTTTCTTTTTTTCTTTTTTCCTTTTTTCTTTTTTTTCTAAACTACCGATGGTGTACATGTGAATTTTTGTATTGAATCAAGTATTAGTTATAGTTTTTTAGAAAATATAGGTCAGTGAAGATTTCATAAATATTAGTTAAATTTCATTCATTTACAATAATATCAGATAGAACTGCACTTAGATTTTACATCGTTATAACTACCAGCATGTGTATTCAATTAAAATATCTTTGTATAATAACATTTTTTTCTTGTTTTTATTTTTTATTTTTATTTTTTTTATCAGCATGATTAAATTAGTTTGACATTTATTCTAGCTAAAATTTTAAACACATGGAGAATTTTCAATTCAGTAAATGCATTGCATAGGATTGGATTGGATTGCATTCCTGAATGCATTGCAATGCAGTACGTGTTTTGTTTCACTCGTTAAACACATGGAGAATTTGAAAGCAGTATTAATTTGATTTAATAATTTAGCAGCTCTTGGACCGGAAAATTTTCTTTTCCAATAATTCATCATTAGAAGATAATCAAAAACTATCATCAACAATTTCAATTGAAATAATTTACAGATACAGTTCCAAACCCATTTTCGTTTTATCAAATCGTCTCCGAACACAACATTACATTCAGTGACTTCAATGCATTTTCTGTTGCAGCTAAACAAAGTCTAGAATAAATATTCAAGCAGAGACACCAGGTCGCTCAAAAGTTTAAAATTTTATTTCTACGTATATTGTAATACGCATTTTACAAGCTTTGATGGTGAAAATCACTTCATAAGAATGAAGATAATATCCAAAAACACACATACAGGTTGGTAATAAACTGATCAATTCTGTAGCACGAGCAGCCATCTTTCACAAAGCAACATTCTAGCCGCAGTTTTTTGATGTTTCACTGTTCCTTGTGAAAATCACTGTCAGTGAGTGATAAGAGCAGCTTCTGCAACACTTCCATGCAGACTCCACAAAACCATATATATCCACGAAAAAGAGGCGTCGACGAATGGATAACTCAAATCCGAATTTGCAGTTAGGCTTGCTTTACAAATGAAGGATTATGAGTAGCAGCAGTTACTGTTTCCTTCCAGCGCGGTATGAAGACCCCGCAAAAACAACCACTCTCGAGTACGCTAAGACAATATAATTACACTGTTACATTCAAAGAATTATGCACAAGTCTAGAATTTCTGGCCTGCCTTCTTCTCGGGAAGGGAGACATCGGGAAGAGAGCCATTGGGGAGGTTGGTATTGGCATCGCTGACGGCATCGTCGGCCTTGCTCTTCACATTCGCGGCGACATTGCCGGGGTTGTTGCTTCCGGTGAGCTTGTCTCCCAATCCGCTCAGAGCACTCTTGGCATCGTCCACAACATTGGTCGTATTGCTCTTGGCTTCATTGATCACATCAGAGGCATCACCCAACTGGAAGGCCTGGTTAGCAGTGCTGGAAGCGTCGCTGATCTTACCCTTCACTTTGCTGTTACCCTTTCCCATCAGGTCGCCAAAGTTGGCCTTGGCCTTGTTCAAGTTGTCCCTGGCATTCTTCACCGCTGCATCGGCAACATCCTCTACGTTCGATGCGGCAGCGGAACCGGCTCTGCATTTTCCAAGTCGCTGAGTCAATCACTGGTTCACAGCCACGTTTATTTCCGATGCAGAAACAAGGTAAATAAATAAAAATGTTTATTTCTATATATATATATATATATATAGATATATATATTCTAGTAACCCTCCCTAAACAAATCCACACAAAGAAGTAGACAGTAAAGTGTTAAACGAGTGAAACAAAACACGTACTGCTTGGCAGTCGACCCGGCGTTCTGCAATCCATCTCCGAACCTCTTGGGGGAATCATTCTTGGTGAGCTTGTCAGCCTTGTTGAGCAGGACATCGGCCTCCTTGGCGGTGGTGGAGGCACCATCACCACCCGGACCGGTCAAAGCGAACGCAGGCACTCCGGATACAAGTACCGCTCCTGCGGCCAGAAGGCCAATCATGGCTTGCCTCACTGCCTTCGGCTCCTGCAAAAACCAGTGCCATCACTCAGGACACTCACACATCCTCCGCATGCTATATGCACACTACCCATCAACGGTAAACACACACAACAGAAGATATGCCACTGCGTAGACTTCTGAGGGAGAATCCAACGGCCACTCGACCCAATAACAAAAAGCTTTTATAACCGCTCCAATTCGACAACAAGAGACTACGCATGGTCCTCATCACAATAACAATAAAAAAAACAACAGCAGCAGCAACCACACCTCCATTCCTCGAAGACCACCACCACCAACAACAACCAAAGCAGCAGAGCTACAACGATCGATTACCTCAGAAGCACTGGCACGCACAACAGCATTAACCTTAACAGCTGCGGACCTGGACACCATGGGTGCGAATCGCACGCTCCCGAATGCAGCACTGCTAGCAGACCGGCATTCCATCGCTGGCGTTGATGTCACCAAAGCAGCAGCAGCAGCAGCAGCAGCATTGCAGCTGGAAACCATTGCGGTGGACGACGCCATTGCGAAGCTAAGAAGAAAAAACTAAACTTCGAGATAATGTGGAACCTGATAACCTTCTCCTTCGAGAGAATACTTCTGCTGCTGCTGCTTCAGCTCGTGACTCTGCAAAATGGCTCTGCAAAACTGATACAAAATCACGCCGAAGATAGTAGAATAGCGATTGAGGAGGAGGAGGAATTGAACGGTGACTAGGGGAGTGCGAAGCGCCGCAGTTTTTATGGACTAGTTTGCTGACTTGGCGGGAGCCTGGTGGCGTGCCACCTGGAGGGGTCTCATATGAAGGCAGCGATTGCGGGATAAAGAAAAGGACCTACGTGGCATGCGGCATGTGTTCGGGACCACGGATTGGGTCCTTTTTCTTGCTGAGCTGGACCGTCGAATCTGATGCCTGCGTGGACAAATGGGGGGTCGGGGACCCAAGCTTTTTGTCACGGGGGTGGGGAGCCCTTTGGTTGGTACTGTGGGCTCCGTTGATAAGAGAGCAATTGTTCGCAATTTAGTGTAGAGAAAGTTGTGTTCTAGACTGGGTTTATTTTTTTACTTATTTGTTTTATTGATCTTGGGACGAAGATGATTCTAGTTTTTTCATTTTCATTTTATGTTTTTGATGTATTTATTGGTTTTGGATTGGTTTGTGAATGGGACTCGCTGATGTAGATTGTATTGTAGTGAGAGGTCAAAGTGACCGTGCTTTGTGTTTGATGTTGAACTAAGACCCTGATGTCAAACTCTTCAGATTTCTCTTTAATTGCAAGGCCATGGTACAAAAAAAATCACCCACTTTAGAACGTGATATGAGCTAATTGTGACGAGACTTTCTCATTTTGCATCAAGTGTAGCATAAACGAGTTATTTCTCTGACACATTTGATTATTGGATCCAGCATGCAGTTTGCTTGTATCAACATGACAGGACTGGTGAGTTTCACCAAGAGTTTGAAGTTTAATGTGTGGTCATATATACAGCTCTTTAACACTTATCTTAAACTATGAAGTGATATCTGTAATTGAGATTAAACAAATCAACAAACAATAATGGAGTGATGTTGTTTGTTGTTGTATGTTGTTGTTCAAGGCAACAACGCATTGTGGGACCCATAAAGAGGATTGTTGCCCTGGACCCACAATTTGCCATGTCCGTGTGTACTTTGTTGCAGCTCTCCACCGAAGCACACATCATCTGCTGCAACCATCGTGCGTGATGGCTGTTGCTGTTCCCTGAAGTGATTGTGAATCACATGCATTGCTGCTGCTCTTCACACAATTTCTGTTTTCTTCTTCTTGCTGGATGCAGAAACTCCAGGTTTTCTGAGCTCTCCACTGTAATCGTTAATTTAAGTTTTTATGTTGCAGAGGAATGCTGATGAAGGAGGTTAGGAGAATTGTGCGGATTCGGTAGAGGTACGATGGGATCTGGATCGCACTCGGTGGCTCCGCATTGTCACTCTAACCCAAGTGGGTGTATGTGGTTGTCCAATTTTGTGGGGTTCTTCAAGTTTTGAGGGGTTCGTTTTTGTGAAGTCTTTCCGACTTCAATTGGACAATTGTTTAATTTGTTGGTGTGTAGGGTTGTCATGTCTGTTTTTGCGCAGGTGAGTTAATTAGGATTGGGGCGGAGGATGAGTGGACGAGGGGGCAGAAATTTGACGAAGTACTTTGTGGTGTTTTTGTGAATGTAGGGGGAGGGGGTCGCTGCTCCAGGAGGTGGAATTGTGGTGCACAGTGCGCCGGAGAGTACGTTGGAATTGTTTCTGATGGATCCTGTTGGTGTTCATTCTCATCGGCAACGGGAACACTGTTACAGTGGTGGAGCTGCTGTACTTGAGCCCTACTAACACCATCCTGACAGGTGACTTTTATCTTGTACCCAATCTTTTCATCAAAATAGAGTACACGAATCGGGAGATAAATCCAGTTTCTGCGTGGGCAATCGTAAGTTTTGCTAGCACGCCATTGCAGTTCGCAGTTTTTAGTGAGTGTTTGCAGATTCTGCAGGCTTCTCCACGGTATGCAACTCTAGTTATAGCCTGATGAGGTATATTATCAGGTCTTCAGGCCAAGCTGTCCGTAGCTCTGCATTAAAAGGCCGACGCTGTTCATTTCATACGATGGACTTGATCCTCGCAGATTTTTCATCTTACTTGATACGTGAATTAAGACAGTGAAGGGGAGCATGGGGTGGCTTATTTGACAAAGGTTTTGCACAGCGCAGATAGGAATGTGAAGTTGTGATGCAGAGAAGTAGCAATGTTTCCTAGAAGTTATTGTATTGTTCAGAAACAGATTTTTTAGGTCTAACGTCATTTCCGTGGCCTGTTGAGAAATCTTCTGGGGTTCTCATGGAAGCATTGCTGCTAATTCTCTGCTAATCCTGTTCTGGTTCAGCTTGGGAACGCTTTCATGCTGGAGCGCAATTAACCTTTCTCATCATACCGTTGAAGCAGCTTTCACTGACTACGTCTCTACCACAGCTTGTGAAGTCACTTTAAAGGCATCATTTATATTTGGTCTTGAATGTGGTAAGAAACTGATTTGATTCCGGAAGTGCAAGGTCGACGACATTGTCCACATGTTCAGGAGCAGGTTGAAAGTCCATGCCGGAAGACTGCAGGAGGATTCTAGAGCTAGTTATTCAGGTACTCCATCCAAGTCCCTTCTCAAGTATAATTTCATAGCGCACACGTGCCAGATGGTGTTTCACATGTCATATGTTTGTCTCTTTCCTAGATCCTTCATTCGATTACTATACAAAAGCTAGAATTGTGACCAGATTCTTGATGCGGCCAAAGGCTAGCGTTCCCCTCAAAATCAACAATGCTGTGGTTAATTACCCCTAATTCTTATCTCTAACTCCGACAATTTCTTGGAAAAACGTCGGAGCTCGCTTTCGACTAATTAGTGAGCATTGATGCCTAAATGTCTGGATGGAAGGACTAAATGTTGTTTGTTTTGCCGTCAAATACAACTGACCCTTGTCAAGACAGGTTATTAGCCCATGAGTCTTGCAAAATTCTTCCGTATCATCCTCCTTCATTAGTAAAAGTTCGGCGATATCCCCCAGCAGGAAGGGGTGCGTTTTGTATCCGCCGCAATTTATGGCCCTTAAAGCTAACGTGCGTATCTCTCCAAAGTACAACTCCATTAAGCAGCCTTGAAGGTATGACGCTTTCTGTGCCAAATCAAAGAATCCTTTGTAATTACCGCTCCTGTAACACCTGTATAATTCACAATGTTTTCAATACTCATGATTTTTCATTCAACTAGAATGTCAAAAAACAAGTCAATGACTCAAGTCACTAACTGCAATTAGGATAAAACAAAATACTCGGTGCCTAAATATTATTGAAATAGTTGTAAGACTTCTCAACCCTTGAAATGAGGTTGAATGTTACCTCAGCACTCTTCGGCAATACATGAACGCAGGGGCCTGTAGCACCAGGGATCGCACCCTGCGGAACCACAGTGCAAGCGGTTCGGCCTGCAACATCGTGTCAGATCACACCATGTCAGATCGTGCAAGCCAATAAGAGTTCTATTCAGCATGTAATGACTACTAGCTTGCGAACTCCACACCTGAACGAACCATCGATGTGCAAGCATGAACTGCACAAAAAGACCAACCTTGGAATGGCCTCTATCTCCCAAGTTCAACAACACGTAGTAACCGTGAAATTCTGCCTCGTGCGCCCATCCAGAGCTTGCTTCAGCTTCAACGGCACTATACAAGTTGAGGAGTGTGAGTAAAGATTTGGAGAGCTGCTGGAGATTCAGTTGCGAATCTGCATCATTTCTAAGGCCTGCTATTTGTTCCTGCAACTCCCTCTCTGACATGATGTGAAACCTCACCTGCATACAAATCATCAAGTTAGGGGTTACTTATTGCGCTAGCGGCACTAATCCTCCTAGTCCAGCGAAGCAAGCATGCATGCCAGCGATGAGTATGCTAAGCCACTAAAAAGAACAATTATGAAGTTTGAACTGTACCAAGCACAACACTCACAATTTCCTCAATCATCGTAATGGCCTGGCTGTTGGCAATGCATTGCATGCTTAATTCTTGTCGAACTGCACGGGTCCGATCAAAAAGAAAGGCATGGACAGATTCGAAGGTGCAGTCACGACGGTCTGTCATTTCCAATAAGTACTGCAACGTTTCCCATAACACATGCTGCGGTCGAACATCCGAAGGTTGCAATTCAGCAACAGCTATAGTCCTGCAAACTGTGACCCAGCTTCGCTTAGTTTCAGAAAAATCATTGCCAATGTGTTCTGTCTATATATGAACAAGCACTAAACAAAGTTGCTTCAAGTTCATGCAATCAAAATACAATTCTTTTTAGGTCAATACCCTCTTAACAGCAAGCGTTGCAGATGTCTCATCTGTTTTCCCATTAATACGCTCAAAGATGGCCAGATCCCTAAGCCTTTGACGCTGTTCTCGCTCGCGAACTGTCAGTTTAACAATCACAAAGGTCACATGGATGTGTTGGAAGCAGACAAGCTTAGACTTCGAAAGTCTGGCGAAAACCAGTGGAAATCTCACCTGGACACATGTCTTGACAAGTGCCAACTATGGAAGTAACCAAGTTACCCTCATCCTGAACACCGACGTCAGAATAAGCAGCTAATGCCCGCACAGGTGGGACACTCTTATTACTACGTGATCTCCATTTGCCTCCCTTCTCCCAATGCGGTTCTGCGTTTGGCTGGGTACCAGTTGATTGAGGTCGTCGGCCAGCTGCATCACCATGCACGTCATCTGCAAGCCCAAGGCAGCAATTGAATCGATTACAACACAATTCTTGTGAAGGAAAATTAATGTCACTCTTCGATGCCTCGCACTTCTAAACTCTGCGGTCGGACTATTCAACAACAATTTGATCAAGAACTAACACAGAAACCAAGGAATCGGAGAAATTTCTAGTAACCAGGAATATTTGTAAGAATTGTAGAACGCTTGAGCCCTTCGATATAATCGACAACAACTGCAACATAGTCCGTCTACATAGGATCTAGGTAACCCATGTAACGGAAAGGCTAAGATATTCTGCACAATCTTTAGTATAGGAGAAATCTTTCACAAATCCCGTACGCTTGACATGCAGCGGGAGCACAAGTCAACACAATCCTCACCATCCACAGTGCGGCTCAACGGCATAAATTGATGCCGAGCTTGTAAACAAGCAATTTGAAAAGTTTCCAACCTGGGATGTCATAGCTGTTACGGCTTCCCATCTCAGCAAGCCGGCTCTGATCGCGCCAAGACATGGAGGGTGCGATTGGTCCTCGCTGCCAAAAGGTCGGTCGGTTATTTCGTTTGCGAGACGAATTTTGCTGGTGAGAATTCCGAGCGTCCATGAATCCGTGGCGTCCGATTGAGTCAAACTCGCCATGACTGTTGTTGTTGTTGTTGTTGTTGTTGTTGCTACTACTTGGTTTTGGAACGTCCCTGTTGTTGTCATGGCTGTTACTTTGCCTGGACATGTCCCCGTGCGAGGCCGGGAAGGTGTCCGCCATAGCCGTTTCTTCTGCCCCAGCTCCCAACGGTTACAGTAAAGATTCAGGGCCCGACGTCATCGTGGCATCAAAAATTCTTCTCGCCCCACTCTACCCTCAACACTTGTATCCCTTCCATGAGGATAAAGTAACACCGCGCTGGATCCCAACCCACTTTTCTATAAAACAATTTCCTCAATCAAAACCAATCCACCTCCACCCACTCGACAACCCACTTCCAGCATGCCTATCCGTCATTTTCGCGGCTATAATCTAACGATTCCTTGCGAACAAAGAAAAAAACGCCTCCAAAGTAGCAACTCAGGAAAAAGGCGGAATACTTCGAAGGAGAGAGACAAGCAATCTAGGCAAACACAGATTCTTGAAGTGAGGACAATACTTCGATGATCTAAGCAGTGCCTGCCCAAAGATGATTCTCGCCCAAAGATGTGGAGAAGGGCAATTCGGCGGAGCGGCCAAGTTGGACTGTTTCTTTCCACGTGTGGTTTTTTGACTCGTTCTTTGCACGTGCCTTTCATGGATCAAACTCTTTCGAAGGACAATATTTCCAGCAGAAAAACAGAGGTGGGCAGCAGGAGATGGGGCAGAAAGATAGATGTTCTGCTGCCCCCGCTAAACCCAACTTACTCTCCAGCAATCGTTCATTTTTCCATAAACCCTACAATTGTTCGCAAAATCCTCGGACAGTTTATTGTTCATGACTTGTAAAATTGCATCACCAACAAAGAAGCTCGTTGTGTGTTGCAACTGAATGTTTTGCGCCGATTTGCAGGCAGAAGCTGGTGAAGAGGTGTGGGGGAGTGGGTGGGTGTGACGACGAAACTGGATTGGAGTAGATAAGGCTAATGTAATTCGGTGTGGAGGAAGTTTTGCACGAAGTGTGGATTGAAGCCATCGCTTGCGTGCCAGGATAGTGAGATAGTGTCTTTTTGCAGTTGGGTTTTCATGGATGGGGTTGTAGATTACAGATTTAGGCAGTGAAGGAGAAGGATTATCTGAAGGATTTTTATTTGTATTCAGTTTTTGCTTAGAGGAAGGGTGGTAGTATGGCTGCCTCGCTGATTTCTTCCTCTTCGTGCTACTCTTCACCCAAAACTCTACTTCACCCTTGCGGTTCATCCTCCTCTCCCTCTTTGCCCACGCTCCTTCGTTCTGTCCGCTCCTCCTCTCACTCACATACATCGTCGAAATTAGTTTTCTGTGCTTCGTTAAAATCTTACCATCATCCTTTGAGACATTTCCAGCGTCAAGTTCCGAGACCGGTCTTTCGCACCTCAGTCTCAGGCCGGTAGGTTCTTAGCACAATCATTAGGCCTCTGATTTTAACTTGAATTTTTTTTGTGTGTCTTCCCATTTGTTGGGTAGTAGCAGATTCGGTTGTCAATCGTCGACGCAATAAGTGCGGTGTGTATAATTCTTCAATTTCTTTGGAATGTAGCTCAATCTTAAAGAAAGGATTAAGTTGGATTAAGCTGGTAATTGGGAATTTTGGGTGGAATCGAGCGAGAGGGTTTCTGGATTAACCAAAGGATTTACTATTGTGATGGGTAGGAACAGGAGTTTCCATGGTATTGATAGGGACATACAGGTGCACAGACGAAGGCAGAAGCGAGGAATATCTACATGTAAAGTCGCCAGTGATGCCCTTGCTTCAGATGTCAAAGCCTATGATGCAGGCCAAATCCAGGTTCTTGTCTAAATATCAGCCTATTCGGGTGCGAAAGAATTAAATTGGAGTTCCTTTCCCCTGCTGAATGCCACCTAATCCAACGAAGCATAGTCGCTGAGTGAAGCGTCGATGATTGGGTTCCATGCAGGTTCTTGAGGGATTGGAGGCAGTTCGTAAGCGTCCGGGAATGTACATTGGCAGCACAGGAGCGAAGGGTCTCCATCATCTGGTCGGTGTCACTCGTTTCAGTTTTTTGTTGGGAATTCGCAAGCAGAATCGATGTCAATTATCTAAGGAGAATTTAGGCAACGTTCCGTTTGTGACAGCATTTAGAGGATTTCTTGAGTAACGACTAGACAGAGCCTCTTCACCATACTGGTCTTAAGCTCATAGTATTCCAGTGTCTATTTTGTGCAGGTTTATGAAGTTCTTGATAACGCAATTGATGAGGCGCAAGCAGGATTCGCTTCTACGGTGGACATAGTAATGCATACTGATGGTTCTGTCAGTATTTCAGACAATGGACGTGGGGTAAGTCCCGAGTCGCTACAATTGTTTGAGCATATCACAAACAATAAGTTGTCACACATGTACATGTGAAAAATCTCGTCTCTGCTTCGTGAATTATGTGTTTTGAGTCGTGGATTTATTGTTTTGCAGATTCCTACGGATGTGCACCCGGTAACAGGAAAGTCCGCGCTAGAGACTGTTCTTACGGTAAAGTGTGATCCTTCCATCCTCGTACATGTTGGGCACGTGCGTTTATTAGATTAAGTCCTTTTCTTTTTCTTTTACTTTTGCTAAAAGAGTACATCAGTCGTTGAGAGATAGTTGGAAGAGGCTGATATGTGTATCACTGTTTCATCTCCACTTTTCAAGATTGTAAAGGAAGCTCAAGTACCATGAATTTTTGTTTACTTGGCCATTAGCTCATATAACTTAATCAAACTCGAATTGATCTGTTTGACACAGGTTTTACATGCAGGCGGTAAGTTTGGAGGGGACAACAGCGGCTACAGCGTCTCTGGTGGGTTGCACGGTGTCGGCATCTCAGTCGTGAATGCTCTTTCCGAGGTATTCCCACCGTTCTTCAAAAATAGACTTGGACATAGTTGGACTCACAGAGGTTTATGTTCTCAGGCAAAAGCTAATGTGACGCCCCATATTTGTTTCGGATACTAATCAACATCATTGTCTGGTTGAGCACTAAATAGCCACCACGCTTTCTGATGACAGAGAGTAGACGTAACAGTGTGGCGCAATGGCCACGAATACAAGCAGTCTTTTGAATTTGGTAAATCTGTGTCACATCTCAGCGGCTCTCGGCTTCCGAGGGACCAGAAAGGACGTACAGGCACGCTTGTGAAATTCCTTCCGGACAAGCAAGGCAAGTGAATGCTGATAGCTTTATTTTTATTTATTTATTTATTTACAGGATATAATTGTTAATTCGATCTGTCAAATTTTTATAATCAAACGCAAAATCACAGCCTATCATTTTCTTATTCTTTTCCTCTGTAAGAACTGTGTTGTTGACTTAAAGGTTTATAGCCGATCTTTATCTCATTCAAGCCGAGATTCATATTGTCAAAATTGCGGACTTGTAAGCACGAAATTTGTTTATTGTTCAAACTAAACTTCGATCATGCAGCGTAGAGAACCTTCTCTGGACCTTGACAATTTTCAATTGCGGGTTGTGTTGTCTAGTTGCTTTTAAAATGTTGTTTTGCAACTGCCAAGGCGAGTTAGATAGGTTATTCAAGGTCGTTTCTTAGTGTTCTAACCTCGGCGTTATAAATGTTCAAAGCAGTGTTCACCTCGACAACTGAATTCGATTACAGCACCATTTCAGGACGTACCCGCGAACTTGCATTTCTAAATCCCCAGGTAATGTTCACGTTTTACAAGTACTTCGTCTCATTAACATGCAATGTAGGTGGAACAAGTTTTCTTTGGAGCTTGCTGTGTAAGCATGTGAGGTGAGATTAAGTTTAAGATGTGTGGCTGTTTAACGCAGGTTACTATTTACTTGAAACAAGACCATGCAAATCCAGAGAAAATTCGCTCTAACACATATCACTTTTCTGGAGGTCTTTCTGAGTATGTGCTGTGGCTTAACAATGATAAGGTACCGTTTCATGGACGACCCATTTTTCACGAGTTTCTGTATGCTGCAAAAATAAGTCTCTCATGGATCTACAATTATGAAGCTGCGCTACAGTTGTAACGAACCTGAATTTTCATAATATGTCTTTACATCAGATTTATTCACTTCAATTTAATGTTAGGATTGAGGACTCACTGTGAAATTCGTGACTATTTACAGGAGCGTTTGCATGAACCGATATCAATTCACAGGAAGAAAGAGGGCATTATAATTGATGTATCGTTGCAATGGTCAGTCTCTTCCATTGTACTTCAGTTCTGAATACTTTAGATGTTGCTTAATGAAAAAATGTCTTAGGCGATATTGGTATTTAGTGTCCGATTAGCGATCAAGATAAGTAGACCATTGCTCTCCTACATTTACATCTGGACACAGTTTTGAACTCTTAGTAGGTTAACTAGGCTGCATTGCTTCATTCCAACCTTTTCATAAAATGCACTGAAGGCTATGAAGGCAGGTATTAAGTGTTGGACGGTGATTGAAAGGGAATGAGCTTGTATGATCCAGGCTTAAAGATCAATCATCCTTGTGTTTCGTTGGGCCAGGTGTGCTGATTCATATACCGACACCATCATTGGATATGCTAATAGCATTCGCACCTCTGACGGTGGTACTCACCTGGATGGAATAAAGGCTGCTGTTACTCGTACCCTTAATACTCTTGGTAGAAAAGCAAAAATATTGAAGGTATGTCAGTTCCTAGATTGCCTTCTGTTGTTGAATATCTGGGATCTCACAAATTTCTGATATCTGCAAATGCTTTCTGCTGGCTATGTCAGATGGCATTGAGCAGCCAGCAATAGTAAGCATAGGAAACAGTTTGGTTTTTATGAAAAGGTTATTGAAGCCATCTGAAAGAGGTTGTACTAAGCTGGATGATTTTGTGGGTACTTCAGGAGAAGGATGAAAATTTATCAGGAGACCACGCTAGGGAAGGTCTGACTTGTGTTGTTTCAGTGAAGGTTCCTAATCCAGAGTTTGAGGGACAAACTAAGGTACTCATGCCAGTCATGGATAAGAATTATGGTGATGCCTTCTTACACATTTTTTGCATCACTTACATATTAACAGAGTATACTTAGCTCAGAAATGTTGAAGCATAGTATACTGAGGACTACATAGATCATATGCACTCCAGTGAAAATTACAAAAGGCTCAACTTGAAAGCCAGTCTATTTTCTTGAGAGAAGGTCGTCTATTAAAGTCTCGTTACTGTTTAGAGTATATTGAGGTTAAGTTTCCTCTATGTTGGAGTGGGTCCAACGAGGTGTTGTGTTTTACAGAAATGTAGCAGTCAATGACTGGAAATTGACAAGTTGGATTTTATTTTTTACTGTTAATGGATAATGTCTGCGTGGTTGGGGACAGACACGACTAGGAAATCCAGAAGTAAGACGACTTGTTGACCAAGCAGTCCAGGAGCTGGTGACAGAGTACTTGGAACAGCATCCTAACACTCTCGAGGCTATACTGTCCAAGGCTCTTCAGGCCTTCAGGGTACGGGAACGACCTTTTTAATCTTCGACTTGCAAGCACTTTTGTGCGGGTCATTGAGTAGGCTTATTTTGTTTTAAAACTTTAAATTCTTGATTAATATAACACCTCGCTTTTCCCCCTTTTGGTTGGTTTTCTGATTACCCTTCAGGGTATTCCGGAGAACTCTATAACTGGGATATGCAGTGAATTGTCTCTGGGGTTGAAAAATCTTACTCAATTGTAAATTGTGGGCAAAATCGACTGAGGTGCTAATGTTAATCAGTTCTTATTTTTTCGTTTGCAGGCAGCAATGGCTGCAAAGAAAGCCAGGGAGCTAGTTAGACGAAAGAATGTTCTTAAGTCGTCCATGCTTCCAGGAAAACTTTCTGATTGTTCCTGCACAGATCCCAAGAATTCTGGTGCTTTCTTGTTCCCTTTCTTTAGATTTTCTTCACTTTGTTTGATTTAAGAGGTTTGTCCTGTTACAAATATACCAATATGGTTTTGGATGACTTGGCAAATTTAAAAGGATACTTCATAATGTACGTCTGATGTTTGTACTCAACAGAAATTTTTATTGTGGAGGGAGATTCTGCTGGAGGTAGTGCCAAACAAGGTCGCGATCGCCGTTACCAGGTGCTTTTCTGCAGTACAAATCTGCATTGTCTTGTAGGTTCTTTTTTTTAACCCAACTCTCAGGAAGAAATAATGTGATGAAGCGTTCTTACAGCGATGTATGGTGCATGTTCCTTAATCGGCCGCTTATTGTGCATTTGGGGCGGCAGGCAATATTACCACTAAGAGGAAAAATTTTGAACATTGAGCGCAAAGATGATGCTGCCATTTACAAGAATCAGGAGATCCAGAATTTGATTCTGGCATTAGGACTTGGTGTGAAGGTATGTATATTTGATCCCTTTTCAGCAAATAGCAGACAAAGAAAAGCTTGGATAATCCATTTGCTATAATTGTGCATCATAGAAGCTGCCAAAAATATATAATCATTTGCGTATTGTGTACAGGGTGAGGAGTTTAGCAAGGATTTGTTGCGGTATCATAAGATAATTATTTTGACGGATGCGGACGTGGATGGTGCTCATATCCGCACCTTACTTCTAACATTCTTCTTCAGATACCAGGTAATCGGGATTTTTCTTTCAAAAACCTTATATCTTTTGGAATGTTCTGATCCTGTTCTGGAGATGCTTCGAATATGGCAGGTTGATTGCATAATTACAGTTGGGACAAAGAACCATGTGGATATGTTTACCACCTCCAGGATGTTTTCTTCATTTTATGAATTGTTTGGTTATGCTTTTCGTACAGAGAGCTCTTTTCGAGTCTGGATGTATCTATGTTGGAGTACCACCACTTTACAAGGTACTTTCTACCTACAACCTTCATTTTAGTGTATATTAGGTACTTTATCAGGACCATGTGCACTCATCATCACAATATGCAATATCTCTGTTAGTCTTTGGTTTCTTTTAAGCTCATGTCGCTGGAAGATTTGAATCAACTTTTGGAAATCTTATTACTTGGGTGAAGATTTTAGGCCAGAACTTCACTTTACAGCAATTCATTCATGAGCGCCATAGATCTGCACCAGGACCATCAGAACTGCTGCTTCCTCTTCAAGGCAGCATAGACAAACCTGCTTCACGTGTAATGCTGATACTGGTCTTGTTCTTTGCAGGTGGAAAGAGGGAAACAAGCCCATTATTGTTTTAACGAGGCTGATTTGAAGAACTTGTTGAAAACTTTTCCTAGCAATGCGTCATATAACATTCAACGATTTAAAGGTTTGTTGCCCTATTTACAAGCTTGTTTAATAGAATGTGAATGGAGATTTTTCTGCAACTTCACCTGAATAAATATGTTCACAATGTCTTGGTTATGAGTGCCCCAGGGTTAGGAGAGATGATGCCACAACAATTGTGGGAAACCACTCTGGATCCTACGCAACGTATGTTGAAGCTTCTAACATTAGAGGATGCTGCTGAAGCTAGCATGATGTTTTCTACTCTCATGGGAGATAAGGTACCGAGAGTTCTCAGTCTTTATTTCATTACGCTCCACTGCTTTGAAGCTTAGCTGTGTTAATTTAATACTTGACGACATGACAGCTTGAGCTTGTATCGTTCTTCACTACTAGCGTCTGAAGCATTATCCTCCTTTTCTCATCAAGATGATGGACTGTCCTTTGTAGGTGGAGCCTCGAAAAGAGCTGATTCAAAATAACGCATCACGGATGAAACTAGAGAATCTCGATCTATAGTACACATTATTTGGTCACACTCGGGAAGCATAAGATTAAAACGACCTTGTGTTTCCCCTCTGTACAAGTTCCCTTTTATTTTTTTTATTTTTTTTTTTAAATTGATGATTTCTGGATATGCAATGCCTATCGATACTTACGCACAATCTCGGATTATTCTTACTGTTGCATGTCAAAGTTACTTTCATGTTTCTGAACAGAGCTTGAATGTTTTTCAGTCAAGATTGGAATCATCGAAGCTATCCATTTTCTTTGAGCCTGACAAATATGGATGACTTATTAGCATTTAGGACTTGATTGCTAAGCTTTGTTTAAACTAGCACAGGACTTCACAATAAACAGCACATTTAGGAATTAAAAATGTTCAGATTATTCAAGTACCACTAGTTTTGATAGTTCATAAGGAATCATATGGCTTTTCATGACTCCTATCACTTATGTGGCTTTGTATTCCAAAGTATTATTTGGCGACTTGACACAAAATTTCACATGAAGCTTTGTAAAAAATAACAATTATAATGGTAATTTGTACTGGAGATTTTTCATTAATTTTTTTTGTTTACAATTCCACAATTTTTACACTAAAGTTACTCCACAATTGCTTCTCAAGAAATACAAGCATGATCCAAAATTATACACAAAATGTTTCATTTTTGTTCTACTAAAAAGTATGCTTGGGAAGTTTGAAATATGCAATAAAAATTATTACAATTCGTAATTATTTATATAATCATGCAATAAAAATTTCGGTAACTGGCTTCAAATTACAGTATTTTACATGAACAATTTCATTATGTACTATGTCTTCTTTGTGTTACTGAACAGGTACCATTACTAAAATGTTTTCAAGTTGAAATGTATGTACAAATCAACAAAAAAAAATATATGTTTTGATACCATAAAAATAATATGTTAAAAGGATATATTCTAATATAAATGTAATTAAAAAGAATTCTAATTAAAATTATTTTGATCGCAATTGATAAGATATGTAGATTATGATTATCACAGTGATATATATTTGATTAATGAATACATATATTTAACTCATGTACAGCATAACAAACAAACATATTCATATGACTCTTATTCATTTTAATATTATAATTTTAGAATCTAAAAAAAAATTATCCTATTTATTGAAATTATGTAGATTAGAATCATATCATACATTTGTACTACAAAAGAATATAATTCATCACTTTAAAAAAAGAACTGAACCATGTTTTTGAAATTCAAGTCAAGTACAAGGTTCATACTTATTTTGAATCTTGAATATGCTACACTAAAGTTTAATATTTTGACTATTACAGTGCATAAAAGGTTAGCAAGTCAATTTCGGGAATTGTATATCAACCATGTCAAAAATCTCCAAATAAACCCAAGTATGTTTGTTTTGAAATTTATTGAAAAAAGAAGAATGAATTGATTAACAATTTAACAATTCACTCATATACACTTTCTCAGAAAACTCAAACAAATCCTGAGTGTGAAACAGAAAGAGGATCAAGACATCATCTGTTCCATTGGAAATCTCACAGAAAGCTTGAGGATGATCAAATTTTGGCGCACTCAGCAGTGGCACAAGGGGAGAGAAGTGCAGTACCGAATAGAAGTATACATGGAAGGCACCAATGCTGTCGAGCGGAGTAAAGTAGCAGTGGTGAAAACTGAAAACACATTGACTGCTCTAAGAGCTGAAGAGAGACTTAAGATAAGGCACATTAATCAAACCTAAGCACTGAAAAAACAAGCACAGCAAAGACCTCGAATTAACACATGCATTCTAACGACAAGAATCATAGGCCTAATGTGACAAATTTTAGAGATTAAGTGGAATTGAACCAACTGAAAAGAAGGAAGGGGTAACTCTACCTTCCAATCACAGAAGATACAATTAGGGTTTAGAGGGAGAATTAATGCTACTGTATTGCAGAGATCTTACGAGAGGCACAACAGAAACACAAAATTCAGCGTGTTTGACGCCGTCACGGAATCCTTAATAAAATTAATCACCGACCTAGATTAGGACTGCACAATGAGCCTAATTTTCAAAACAACCCGCATCTCTACTTGCAGTCCTCTCCCAAAGGAACGACGTTACACGTACATAGTAAGCAAAGTACAAACTCAGAAGGAAAAACAACTCCAACAACCCAAAATAGAACGTACCATTCAGCACAGGAGCAGCACACGGAGAGACAAAGGAACTCGCAGCTGATTGCTAGGGAAGTTAAGTGGAGAGCGATTGAAGGACCGACGAAATCCAGAACTGGAGAGAGAATTGCCCAAAAGTGATGACGTGAATGATTTTCAAGTCAACTGTAAGAGATGCAAGTGAAGACCTATGAATCGAACATGCTATGCTACAAATAGCCTTGGAGGACCTTTTCAAGAAATAACACAGAACAAGAACATGGTGAAAAGATTAACTGATGAAATAAGCGTACTTGGTCCCAGATTGATGAAATTAAGCGAACAAGAGATTACGACACTGTCAAATACTCCTTTCAAGTCTATAAAAAAACGAGCCTGTACAGTCTGAACTTAATGGCGCGGGGTTCCATTACTCCATAACCCCAACTCAAATAAGCTACACATGGGCCAGGAATTTCATTAACACATCTTTGCGCATGAAACTCAGCACAAACCATCAAGTGCCAAATCCGACTTACATTACCCATCAAGTGCCAAATCCGACTTACATTACCAGCACTGCTATGCTTCTACTCTCGTTTCAATCAGCTCACTGAGCTCTCCAAGACGTGCATACGCAACGCAAGCCATAGAGTACCATCGCAAAAATTTGAAAAGGAATCCATCAAAACATGGGACAGACAGGAATAAGCAGAAACAACTACAAAAATGTGGGATAATAGTAATGCGCAGCGGGTTTAAACCCTAAATCCTAAAATCCCCCGATAGATGAGAGGAGCAGCCTTAACCAGACATCCATCCGACTCATTACACTAGAATGAAAATAAAATTTCAGTTTTTTGTTGAATTAATGTATGGAAAGCAATGAATTATATGAAATCTTACATAAATTGGTGAATTTTTGCTTATTAATGAAATCCATGAGTAAAAATAATACAATATGTGCTAAAATTAAATTGTATCATTTTTCTTATATTGATGTATAATTATAGTGTTTAAGTTATTTGGTGTTGTAAAACTTGAAAGCACTTTACACAATGTATATGTGCCATATACATACAAAGAAGATTCTAGAACTTTCAAAGAATATTTTGTATTATGATAAACATTTCTAAAATATTATAAAATTTAGTAGAAATATGTGGTAAATAGCTTAGAAACTAAGTTATGTTGGATGGCACTCTAAGAATCTTTTAGAATAACTTAGAAAACAAGCCATGTGATTTAATTTGGAATGCAAGTCTTTTAAGGAAGCTTCTTGAGGAGCTTCTTGAGACTTAATAAAAAAATCTTTGATTAACTTATGAGGCAAGATATGAAAGGCTTGGTATTACAAACATAATCAAAATTAATAATTACTTAGATAAAAATAGATAAAAGTGGATAAATTAAATAATATATTATGAAAAAGTTTTTTAGAAGTTTCATTGTCACGGATTTGACTTTATATATGTCAATAAATGATTAATAGGTTGAAAACTTGACCAACAAGTTGTCCACATGTTGCACATGTTTGCCACTTGTGATACAAGTTAGTCATTTGGTGCACATGTAAAAAAAACTTATTTTACAAGTTAAACAAGTATTTTTCAAGTTAGACACATGTTGGAAGACTTATAGAACATTACCATATAGCTTCTAGTTAGATAGTATATATAGAGGCAAGAGTAAGGCCTTGTTCACTCTTGTCAAGTTCTTTCTTGTTTCTAGTTTTTTTTTCAAGTATCTATAATTGTTTTGCCTTTGACAATAGCAATTTCAATTTCTTCTTGAATATACATATTTTTTCATTTCTTTTATGTTTTTTTTTTTGAGATACTTTCACCTATTTGATTGCATTCTTTAAGTTCTTGTATTTAATATTTGGACTCCAAGTTTTAGGTCTTGCAAGTAATTTAAATAGAAACAAGACTAAGATTTAATCTTATAAACTCATTTCTTGAATATATTCTTCTTTAGATCTTTAGGCCTTCTTATTTTTGATATTATTCATTGGTTATTGTGTTCTTAGCTATTCCTTCTTTTATATACATATTATAATCTTTATTGCTTGAAATTATTTCTTTTTGGTTGAAGTTATAAGAGTGTTCCTAATAGTTTGATAAGGCTATTGTTTTTGTTTGCAAAGTCGTTCTATATTAAGAAATAAGTAGATTATTCCAGTTCTTGACTATTTTGTTTTTCTATATTAAAAGGTGAGTGGATTACCTTGCTTTTTAGGTGTTATTTTGTATTAAGAATTGAGTGAATTACCCCGCTTCTTGAGTATTGTTTTGTGTTGAAAAGTGAGTGGACTATCCCACTTTGTGTCACAGACACAGAATACAGACTTGATATCTACCAAGAAGTTCAAGAAGAACTGGCAAGAACTAGATTAATCAGATGAATACAAGAACAACACTAGAGAGGTGAACTAGAGCTCCAAGAGATGTGTTGTCGAGACTGAAGAACTCTTCAGCCTCGATTCCAATATATACTCCTATTTAGGAAGCTTCTCAAGCAACTTCTACCAACTAGGAAGCTTCTAGAAAGTTCCAGAGACTTGCTTCTAGAAGGTTCTAGAAACTTATCTCTAGAAGGTTCTAAGGACTATGTCCCTAACATCTTCTATCAACTAAGAAGCTTCTAGAAGGTTCTAGAGACTTGCTTCTAGAAGGTTTTAGAGACTTGCTTCTAGAAGGTTCTAGAAGCTTGTCTCTAGAAGGTTCTAGAAACTTGTCTCTAGAAGGTTCTAAGGACTATGTCCCTAACATCACCCCCTCTTTTAGCTTCGAGGTCTCTGAGAAGCAATATTGTTGTCAATCAGTACCAACGCAAGAAAATGAAGATCTGTCGCATAACGTCTGCTATGAACTCCAACTGTTGTTCACGAGGTAAGTGATTCATCAGCCCTTGAAGCCAACGGCAGTGGCCCACTCCTTCAATTTCTGACCAAGCATGAACTTTCGTGTCTTCATTATGAAATTGTCCTACAAATATGCCTTCTGGTTCACCATCGTAAGCAGGCTCGAACTCAAATACAATCACCAGTGATCGATTACTTGGTATCCTCCGTCGTCGTCATG